GCTGGCCGCTAGCAATGCCAGATCCTCCCCAGGGGTGCCCGCTGGCTGGGAACCAGCCTACCACTCACTGCAGGCCTGATGCCGTCACTGATGGGGAGCCCTGTGCTGAGCTGTCAGCCTTGCCAACCCTGGTCATGTGGTAAATCCTGCTCTGGGGTAGGGCCCTTCCAGTCCCCAGTCCTACCCCTGCCCCTGCTCCCTGCCTGGCCTGCCTGCACTTCTCTGGCCCTAGGCTCCCTCCTCCACAACATGCAGAGAGGTGTGACAGAGTTCAAAACTTTACTGAGCAGCCTGTGTCCCCACAGCTGGGTGGGCACAGGCCGCTCCCATGCCAAGGAAGGTGTCAATGCCAGTGACAATATCCTCTTTGGCAGTGGGGGCAGGGACATGTAGTGCTGTGACAGGTAGCCCTCAAGGTGGTGGCGGAGGTTGCGGGGCAGCCCAGGCTTGCTTCCCACGCTGCCATAGCTCAGGGTCCCAAACCAGGAGGATCCAGGTTACAGTGGCTTGGGCAACCTTCCAACTGCACAAACAGCTCATTGCACACTACGCAGGGCACGTGCAGCAAGGGTATGCTTGTGGTGCACCGCGGGGAGGTGGAGGAAGCCCCATGGCACTTCCCTGGAGAGGCTTCCTGCAGAGAAGGCAGGGTGTGACCAGCCCCTCACCCCAGTTGTCTGGGAGCCCCGTGGCACCCCAAGCATGGGCACCGTGGGCTATGCAGCAGCACAGTAGAGCGGTTGGCCTGCAGGGTGGGTGGGTCTGGAGCTGTGGCAGCAGGTGCAGCTAGCAGCCTGGCCTGGCCTGGCCTGCCCTTGTAAGGGGAGGCAGGCTGCCTTCAGCCTGCACATAGCAGGCTGCCAGTCCCAGGGGAGCAAGTGGGGCTGGGTGGCTCGGCCAGTGGCCACCTGGACCCGGCCCTGCCCGGACAGGTTTCCATGGTCTCTGAGCACCTGCATATGGCCAACCTCTGATCTGAGGCTGGGCAGCGCAGGGCCCTGGGTGCACAGCATCTTTTCTCTGTAATGTTGCAAACTGGCACAAAAAGCTTCTGTCTCTTGCCTCTTCAGGGCCAATGGTTGGACACGGGGGAGAGGCTGTAGGGCCCTGCAGTAGTGCCATAGCAGGGTCATTGCCACCTGCTGTTGGAACTGCCCAGATGTGCCGACTGGCCAATGGTGCACCAGGGACTGGATGCTCCTGCTCCAGTGGCTGGTGCCATCAGTTGAAAACTGGCAGCATGGGAGCAGGCACAGCAGGAGGCGCAGGACCTGGCCTGGTGGGACGAAGGCATTGCCCAGTAGACTGCCTGAGAGGAAGCACAGGACCAGGTGCAACAGGTGCATTAGGCCTGGCTGGAGGCCCTGGAGCAGCACCACATGGAGCTGCTTGAGCAGCAACTGGCCAGCTGGAGCCCCTGGGCCCTGCCCACTGCCCTGCAGCGAACTCCCACAGAGTTGGTTGGTTGAGAGGGGAGTTTGGGTGGGTGGAGGTGGGGCTTCTGAGGGGAATAAAGGTTTTCATTACAAATGTGGGTGTCCTGGCGTGGTGCTGGGGGGGGGGGGAG